ATACAAATTGTTAATGGTAAAGAGGGATAGTCGATATCCCTAATTATGTATTTGTCTGGGGGTTAATCGATAAATCCAAAGATAATCCATAAATCCAGTCATTTCCTTCTTCCAACCCCTTAAGTAATTTACAAATTGACTTTTTGTATTTTTTGTGCCTTTTCAATTACTGTGAGGGATTCACAACTTCTGAGGAAAATGCAGGCTGTTAACAGCAAGATAGTTAAAAATCTGGAAGTCACACCCACGATTTTTATTTGACTGTAATCACATGTTTAATCAATGCTCTTGCTCTTGGAGGCCTAACCGTGGCACTGAAGGAGTTAAGCAGCATCCCCAGCCCCCTCAATCTCTAGAACTTCAGAGGATAAAGTAGGTAAATGTGTCCCATTCACTGTGACTCTGACCTTGGTCTGTGACAGAGGAAAGGCGTGTCTTCTCACACTGTTCCCATGAAGAAAAGGCAGGCAAATCAGGGTGATTCAGGACTTCTAGTGGCCTACACATGACTGAACGTTTTTCTGAATGATTCCACGTATACACTTTGGAATCAGGAAGAGAAACATTTGACTCCTCACAAACCAAACCCTCTCAAAATCATATGCAAAACAACTTTGAGTAATGAGGGACTTCAAGGCATCCCATAGTTTTTCCCTTTAACTTTTTTCCCCCTTTGTGGTATAAACAAAGACATCTGCCACATCGAGAGTCTGGCTTGTTTGTTTTGGGCTTTTTTAAAACTGAAAACTGAATGCAATCATAAAAGTTTACTTTGAAATTTAAAAATGACTTCTGCAAGCTGCACTCCTTTAAATTTCAGTAAAAAAATCTAGCATTTTTAGTTTAAAAAGGTTAACATTTCTTTTAACTTATGAAACACTGTTGTATATTATAATCTATAATATAATTAGTAAGAATACGGTTTCTTTAAAACTGCCTTAAACAGGGTACTAAAAAATACTAAAATAGAGTGATGAGTCCCCCAAGTTACTGGACCATCCCTAATGAAAATATATCCAACTACACATTAACTGTTGCTGTTTAAATCATACAGTAAGTCTATGTATACCCACCCTGTCCTCTAACTCCTTAGAAGTTTCACAACTTCCTTTCATAGAGAAGTCTGCCAAGCCATTGATCAATAAAGAGTAAAAGCTGCAAACACCTAGAAATTTCTTACTATGTGATAGTATAGTTTGTAAATGTATCTCCTGCTGTCTACCTTTTATCTGTTTATAAATTCCAGTTTCAGGATAGCAATAGAGCTCATGCATGGCTTTGGCTCTGACTCTATCCCAAAGCTTTCCAAAGGGTGGGCTTTTTTCTCTTTCGTCTTCAGTGCATTTCATTTGGCCCAACAGGGCTATTTTGCTCCAAAGCTTTCCAGAGAACAGCTCCACGTCTTGACAGTCTTCTCGATGTCACTTTTTTCCCCTTCCCATCTACTACTGCACAGGGCTGGCTCTGCTGCAAGGTGAACAAACAAGGGCTTTCTGGCTGTACTTTGCTCAGCTCTTCATTTTGTTTTCCTACCCACAGTTGCCCTTTCCCTTCCTACCACCAGTTGCTTTTCTGTTGTATCTTTTATCTCTGTACTGCAGTTCCAGTCAAACCCTGACCCCAAACCCACACATCCTTTCATCACATTGCCATTAGTGATGAAAGCAATAGCCATTCTAACCTTATTTTTAAAAATTAAAAAAGGCCTCAGAAAATGTTCAGTGCTCCCAATTTTATTTTTATTTAATGCTAAAAGTTAAAAGGAAAAAAAAAAAGGTACTGTAAATCTGACAAATGACAGAATGCAGGTGGTATTTCCATAGCATGATGTTAAAATATAATGTTGGTATCTGACATTACACTCACTTCAGTTGACATGAGTTTCATCATATGTAGAAAAAGTATCACCTTCAACTTAAAAAAAAAAGTACAGATTAAAAGGTGGCGCACTTTTAAAATACTTGGTGGCCAAGGAAAGGTATACAGTAAAAGTTGTAAACCATGTGTACGTTTCTCATAACTTTAAATGTGAGGCCACATGAAAGACAGTACATCTGTGAAATCCTATAAATCGGTAAAGCAAAAAAGGGAAAGCTTCAACACCCATCCCCTAATATTTTGAGTATTAAAAGCACAGCTGAAATATTAGGATTTGAAATCTGATACTGCCCACGTACAGTAAGTAGCTTTCTGACATTTTTATCCAGCTGTGGAGAATCTCTGTACTGTCATCAGGTATAACAAAAGACCAAACCCATGTCCCAATGTTAACTTTTTAACTTAAAAATAACCCAGATCAACACTTTCCAGCTGCAAGTCTTCCACAAAGGCCACCCAGGGGCCAGGCAGACTCATGCAAATCTTATTTTTCAACAGGAGTAACCTTCACACACAGCCCTTACAAGCTGTTTTCTTCCCCTTACCATTAGCACAGAGCAACCATAGGTTGTTTTTTCCACAGCTGGATAGACTTATTCAAAACAGCAGGATGGTTCTTTATTAATTCTTTTTGGAAAGCTATCTGTATTAAGATTGCAAAACATACAGATAGCTACCACAAATTAGGTCAAATGGCTGATCAACTTGTAACATCTAAGAGGTCAAATTCCAGTTTATAATAAAGTGCCTAGATACACATTTATACAACAAACCGTAATAGTTGAATTCTTTACAAATGTCTCTATGGGCATGTAAAACTGACTGTTTCTACATGTGTACATTTACATAAGAGAAACCAGTCCGATCTGAGTCATAGTTACCCCAATTAAAAAAAAAAAGTAACAACAAACTGGTTAATCATGCAAGTCTGTTGGTCATATAACAATGACTGGTAACACAAATCTGCACAGCGTTAATAGGTGCACTCATAAAAAACACTATGAAAAATACTGTATTTGGCGCAGTGTCTGATTTTCAAGTGTTAATAACCCGATCATTAAAAAACATTTCAACAACTTTAAAAAGACAAAAACATAACTAAAAAATAACCCAAAGTGGGTAACAATCTATATTTTCAAATTAAAATAGAAGCTGAGTTGTGAACGAGACATATAAGTTGTAATAGACCTTGAAGCGATGATTCAGCCTAATATTAGGGCCAAGTTACAAACACCTGAACATAAAAGGACTTAAAATAGTGTTCCTGTGGATGTTAAAATAGCACAAAAGAAAAAACCAGCATTGCTGAGACAACTATTTCTAATATCTGATGATTTATTGGTTTAAAAAATCATTTCACTGATGCAAAATAGTGATCAAAAGAAATGTTTACAAAAGGCTTCTAAAAATAGTTTGAGAGGTGGGGCTGTCCATTATGTAAAACCTTTTCTTTAATTTTCACTAGTTTATCATTTTTCCCCCCAGAAGAACTGTATTATTCACTTGGTGTTTCGAACACAGGTAAGGAGGAAATTACAGGTTTCCTCCACCCCCATTCAGGCTGTCACTGATATGCCCACAGGCAGTCCTGGCAGCACCATGTGCTGTTACTGTCATTGTACCATACTGTATTTAGCACTCACGAGAAACAGGGTGTAGGTGATAGTATCAACAGCAATAGCACTACAGGTAAATGATAAAAAACAAAACACAAAACAGAAACTAAACCAATCCCACAATCTCCAAGTTCACCTGGACTGGAACTTCTCTTGCAACTCTTTTCAAAGGAAATGACAACAGCAACGACGACAGAGCCCTGGGTGTTTACAAAGACCAAGTGGCGCTGCAGAACCAGGCCCTGTTCAAAGACAGCAGTGCCATCTCATACACACCACCATCCATTATCGCCACCCTCCATCACTCAACTGTGAATTATGTAACCAACTAGCATGCAGCATTATAATCTTACAACTGACTAAGTGGGCACTGAACAGTGGTCACCTTTGCCTTAAAAAAAAAAAAAGCCCCCTCAAAACCACACAGTCCAAAAAAATCTCTCAGCAACAACTCCCAGGCAGGCTTCAATGGCCCAACGACTGAACTTTAAGAAAACAAAGACTCAAAATCTATTTTCTTATTACTCTAAGAGGACAGTGTTTGGGGGTAAACATGGTGACATTTCCCAGTGGCATGCCCACTTCACAACAGTACCCCTTCTCACTCATTTCCTTTCCTTCTCCATCAGTTGGCCTCCAGTCTGAGAAAGGGGCCAGCAATAAGGAATAACAGACAGTAAGGCAATCTTACAATATCAGAAAATGTATTTGGCTTTTTTTTTTCTTTTTAAAGTAAGTGCATACAAATACAGCTAGAAGCGTTTCGGGTTTTGCCAAGTGCTCTAAAAAAGCAGCGCAAGTCACAGCCTACATTGAACGGTAACTGTCACCAGGATAGTAAAGCACAAAGATATGCTAATAACATTAACGAAAGAAGAAAATGCCTTTATAAGTACATACCTTTTGTCGTCAAAAAAAAAAAAAAAAAAAAAAAAAAAAAAAAAAATTTTTTAAAAAAAATAAAAGAGGCATTACAACTTAAGTTTTTAAAAGAGTGATTGCAAAAAAAAAAAAAATGTAGGAGCAGAAGAAATGGTTTGCCAATTAAATACCGAATTGCTTAAGACAGAGATAGTAGTAATGATGGCACTTTCCGCAAGTTGGTGGTTTCCTCCAAAAGGGCCGATGAGAACTCCACTGTTACTATATATATTCTCAACTCTAGTAAGAAATGCTTTAGAGCTAGTGTAAACTCTTGTTTTGTTTGACCTGCTCCCCTGTTTAAAGGTTTTCACTGTGTCCCACTGTCTCAGATTCTGTAAATTACTAACCATATTCTGTATAACATTTGGGTGAAACTAATGACTGTGACTTATTGACCCATAAAACAATGGAGAGCGTATCTTTGTGGAGTAGCTGTCTGGAGACTCAAGACTGGCCACAGGGAAGATATAATTAGAGCTCAGCCAGAGATGACAACAGTTGTGTTGAATTCTAATACTTTCTGGTTTTTAGGAACTGCTTCAAGTCCTAGCCTGAGAAAGATTCTGAGCCTGGATCCAAGCNGGAGATATATATACAATTCAAGCAGTTTTAGTTAAGGGTAATGATTGGGTTTTTCTGAAACCGGAAAGTCACGAGTCTCTTTCTTTTTTCACTTTCACATCTCCAGCAAGGATGGTCGCAATTTCCCCTTGCATAAAGGCCCAGGGGACACTGGAGCCCACAAGAGGGCATTTTTCCCCACTGGGACAATAGACCTCTCCACTAGCTCCCTGCTGTTTGATGCTTTGTCTGGAGCAAGGGAAGCAGAACTTGTGCGAAGGGACCGATGGGCACTGCACAAAGTGGGTGTCCTCCAGCCGCTCGTGGCAGAGGGTGCAGCACAGGGGGGCACTGGCTGCCAGAGAGGAGTCTGGGAGGCTGGCAGGGTGCACTGGCTCCAGTCCTCCTGTGCTGCCTGCCCCCGGGCCCCCCACTTCTCTGGGGCCTAGCCTTCTCTGGTTCATAGAGGACGGAGAGGGTGGACTGCTGCTATTCCTCCTGGTCGTGGAGTGAACCTGGTTGGCATCTTTTGAGGCATGACTGCCTCCTGCATTGTCTGCTACTAAGATCAGGGCTGCCATGGGGGACTGGCCATTCTGGGCCGCTTCAGGCGGTGTGGTCCGGTTGGAATGAGGTGAGGCAGTGGGTGGCGGAGGAGACACAAAAGAGGATGCAGAATTAATGGGGATCTTGAGCCCTTCTGTGGACGTGGACAGCCACGGCTGTGCCTCTCCATTGATCTTAGGGGGCCCGACTTCACCTTCTGGTTCTGGAGAAGGCTTCCTTTTCCTTGCTGTTCTTGCAACTGAAAAAACAAGCAAATAAAAGGGGAGAAATAGAAAATAAATGAACCGGCACCAAAAAGGACCTTTTTCTAACATGAAACAGAACTCAGCAGTTCTATCCTCTAAAAGCCTGTATATAAAAACCCACCAGTTTCAATTGCACGTGCAACTTAAAACACTTACGGGGCTGGCGCTGAGGCCCTGTAGCAGTTTTTCAAAAAGCCACCGAAAACGACTCATATACAGTTGCCTACTTTTGCACATGCATGCATGTCCCCAGGTTTAACTGTGCATATGAGTTTTAAGGTTCCCCCAACAGGTTAAAAGGTGACTGGTGCCCTCCTGCTCCCATCCAAGAATGTGCTGGGAAAGGAAAACCCGGTGTCAGAGCAGATCAGCCCAGTCTGACTCATCTCTGTTGTGCTGCTTCAGCACAGGAACACGTTGCCACTAAGCACTGGTTCCGCCTGGGGCAGAGCAGGAAGTTGGGTGTTTGTTGTTTCTGGGCTAAGGTAGAATGGTGAATGGAAAGAGCACCCCCCCACACACTGCTCTGGGTCCCCGTCTCCCCCAGGTCCCCTCACTCCACAGCCGCCCCTACCTGCTTTAGACCCGTTGGCCCCGTTGGCCTCGAACCCCAACAACCTGCCTGCAGTCAGGGCCGGCTCCTTCTTAAACTTGCTCTCGAAGGGCCCCGAGTGGCCATGCTGGTGCAGCGCCAGCAGCGTGTCCCGCACGGTCTTGGGCCGGTTGACCCAGTCCTGCTCCCCGGGCGCGCGGCTTTTGCCCGA